AGGCGAGGGTCCCACATGGCACGCAGACCTCTCCTGCCGCGCCCGCTGCTCCCCTCAGCAGTGTACTTCGTCAGTCTGTCTGTTCTGCTCCCCACTCTGGCTCTGGTGAATCCTCTCACCCTCCTGCACTTCTGACTGTACCCAGTGCTTGTATAAATAAATAAATTAAAAAAAAAAAATACAAACATGTACCCAAAAATACTGTAGCTACATTAAAATACAATTCTAAAATATATATAAATAACCTATAGGAAGTCTGGAAAAAAGAAACCAGAGAAAAACAGACAACAAACAAAAATATAACAGCAGAACGAACCCCTAATGTACACAATTGCTAAAAATGTCAACGTTCTAAACATGTCGAATGGGAGAAAAAAAAATCACCCAACTCTATGCTGCCTGCAAGAAACTCACTCAAACCTACAGTCACTCAGTGTGTCTGAAAGCCTCGAGGGGAAAAGGCCCCACCGCAGCATCCAAACGCGGCAGGAGAGGCCTGTTTGTGCCAGACAAAGCAGACTCCAGGAAAGGCGCCGCCTGGGCCTGAGAGACACGTCACACCAGGCAAGGGAATCAAGCTTTTAAGATGACAGCAATTCAAATCCCAGAGCATCAAATCCCAGAGCTGCATGACATAAAACAACATAAAACATCACCTGTGGTGATGGGCAGATCCAGGACGAGTCCCACCGCACAGCGGGGATGTGAATGCCCTTCTCCACCCCCCGACAAGCACGGCAGAGCACACCAGCCAACACAGCAGGACGCGTGCTCTTCTCACGTGTCCAGAGAACATACGCCCAGATACCCTGTATCCTGGTCATAAAATCAACCTCAAGGAAATTATAAGACTGGAATCACACAGAGCACAGTCATGCCTGGGAGGTAAAAGCCAAAACTGCATTTCTTTTAAAATTTGATGAAAATACAGGTGCCAATTGTCAGGACCTACAGGTTACCATAAAATTAGCCATCAGGAAAAGTCATAGGCTTAAAAAAATTAATAAAGTATCTAACTCAAAGCTAAAAAGGACAAGTAAAGTAAACAAAAAGGCTGGAGGAGAGAAACAGCTAAGATAAAATTGGAAAGGGATGAATTAAAATCAAAATAACAATAGGACTAAAATGGTTGGTTACTTTTATAAAATCTAAACTACATACAAACTAATCAGGAGGAGCAGAAAACACAGAACATGCGTGCTATGGAAAGTGGACGGGGGGAGCACTAGGTCAGGGAGCTGTTCAAAAGCAAAAGCTGCTGTTGTGGCCACCGAGGACAGGCAGGTCGGCGACCCAGATGGAACCAGCCGCGTCTGCAGAAATCACGACTCACAGCTCATCTCAGGGCTATGAAAGCTCGACCTGATGGTGTCCAGCACACAGAGGCCATGGAAGACTGACCCCTAGAAGGCTGGGCAGTCTCAGAGAGTCCCACTGAGTCCTACAGATCAGGGACTCCAATGAGATGCAAGCGCCCCCATGACAGGCAGAGAGGCATGCCCACCTTCATGAGTGGGCGGCAGGTAAGCCCCTGGGGCCCGGCCACGCTGCCTGCAGGGCACCCAGGCCCAGCAGGCTCTCAGGAGACAGCCAGCACCCACACACATCATGGCTGGCTCCCGGGCTGGTGCTGCTGGGGGGACACCACACACCCCAGCCTCTGTGCTCACCAACACATCTAACACAGCCCTGGGGAGCCCCCTCAGGAGGGTCCAGGCTCCCAGAAGGCCTCACACCTGGGTGAGGCCTTGTCTCAGCCAAGGAGGCGGCCAGAGGCCGCTGGGGCCAGCAGGGAGCTGCCGGCAGGTTTTGTGTCCTGGCATGGGAGGTATTTTCAGTGTGTATCTGTGCTTCAGTTGTGTTTCAAGAAGCTGGTTGGGGATTTTAAGAATAACCAATTGTAATTATAATTTCTGTAAGGCTCTATCATCTTCCCCACTTAAAATAACAGGCTGTGGCCTCCCATAAGGACACCTGGTTTTCAGGAATGGGGTTATTCAACTGAGCAAGAAATAACCGCACAGCACTGACATCCAAACCCTCTGGCCCTCGAGCATGATCTAAGAAGCTGCAGAATACATCTCATTTTAAAGTGTTAATCCAAAAATCCTACATAAAACATTCACAGATTCCACCACCACGTTAAAAACGAACATGATTAATTCCAACTGGGATTAATTCTAAGACTGCAAAGATAATTTACCATCAGAAAATGCATTATTAAAAACCCCATATTTAAGGGGGAAAAAAACGCGACCTGGCAGAAAAAACAGGCCGTCTGCACAGGCCGGAACCAGCAATCGTCTCCTCCCCAAGCAGAAAAGGCCGGCCCCAGAGGGGATGCTGGGGAGCTCGGACACCTGAGGGAGACCAGTCCCTCCAGTCGAGCTGGAGGCCAGAACTTCCCGACATCACCCAAGGCCTTTGGGAAACTCCAGGCCAGTGTTTCTCTGAACACAGATGCAAACCACAGGAAGTGCAGAGAATTACACAGCACACACCAGCTGCCAAGGGGTAAGCAGAACGGATCCTGCATGTGAGCACCGGCGTCCCCGCGGCACCCACAGACGGAGACAGAAACTCCAGGACCTCAACAGACGCAGCAAGAGCGCCTGGAAGTCCGCGCCCGCTCGCGGGTCGGAAACAAAGGAATAGAGGGAACGTCTGGACGGGGCACCCACACCCCGACAGCCAAGACCGCACTCCGCGGCCAGACGCTCGGGCGGCCCTGCCAGCCCTCTCGGGGCTCTGGGGGAAGCCCTTGCCCACGCAGCCAGCAGGGAGGGGGACAGGACGGGCACTGACAAGAAGGAAGACATGAACCGCTCTTGCGTGCAGGCGGCAGGGCCGTGTCTGTGGGGGGAAACCCTCAGGTTCAACCAGAGACCCCGGAGCTACCAAGAGCTCCCGCGAGGCCGCAGGGTAACAGGCTGCCGGAGTCGCCGCGCCCCACCGAGGCTGGACGTGGACGGTGACAAGGCCTCGCCGTCTGGAACAGCATCCCCCCAGCAGAGCCCGCACGTTGGAGGCGAGCACAGGTCTCAGTGGCAGGAAATCCAAGGGGAACTAAACCTGAGGGGGGGCGTCCTGCCCTGCTGGCTCCCCGGGGATCGCAGGGACGTTGCCGCTTTCCAAACGGTAAACTGGGCACAATCACCAATAAACCCCAGCAAGTTCATCTGTAGACGCTGCAGAATCATGCCAAGGGGCAGGTGGGGGCCTCAGGCCAGCCTCGGCGGGGGCGCGGGCGGGCCCGGGGCCTGACCCACTGGCAGGGGCGCAGACGGGCCCCACGGGGTGGGCAGGGGCGCGTGAGGCGCTGGGGCTGGGGACAGCTGCCGCGGGGACAGCTGGGCCGCGAGGACATGGGCGCGGCCGGACACTCTGCATGGGACGAACCCCGCGGCTCATGGGTCTCGGGGGACATGAGCAGACGGTGGGGGGGGCACAGGGGTGAGGCCGAGGGGGGCGCGGGGCAGGTGGGCTCGCCAAGGGGGGACAGGTGGGCTCCCCCAGAGGGGCACAGGGCAGGCGTGCTCGCCAGGAGGTGAAGTTAGGGGTGAGAAAAGACGGCTTTTACGAAGGACATGTCTGACCAGTGACTGTTGCTCAAAATCAGGTCCTGTCGAGGCCCGGCCGTGGATGGGGCGACCCTGGTGACCACACCGAGGAGGCCACAGGCGCCCCGCAGGCAGCAGCCCAAGCTGGCCCCTCCGTGGGCAGTGGACAGGGCCAGCCTGGGGCGGGGCCTGGAGGGGGCAGGGCTGGGCCTGACCCTGGGGGCTGGAGGGGGGCCACGTCTCCTGCCACAGCAGGGCCACGCGCAAGGCCAGGCGGGGCTTGTGCCCCAGCACTGCCCACATGACACGGCTTGCGCGCAGCTCCGGCGCGGCAGCCACATCCACGCGTGGCCAGGGCGCACTCCCAGGTGGACATACGAGCTCGGGCGCACCGCAGGAGGAAGCACCCAGGAGCGCCCAAGCCCGGTCACGCCGTGCGGGGGAGGCGCCACATGCGGCTGCTGCGGGGCTTTGGGGGCCTGGCCGGGCACCGGGAGGGTGGGGCATGGGGCGGGCAGCTCCCACGTCTCCTCAGTTGTGTTTGAACTTTAAACTGTTGTTGAAAAACAGAACATTCCAGATGACGAGAAGAGTAACAAAGCTCTTTAAAGCAGCCAGATGCCAGCAGGTGCCCCCCAGGGGACGCGCCTGGGGAGTGAGCATGGGGGAGGGGTGGGCCGGCTGCGGGCAACACCAGGAGGGCCACCCCCACCCCACCCCACACCACCCCACCGCTTCCCAGGTGCACAGGAGACACTGTGCACACTCCTGGGGGAAGGCTAGGAAAGGCCCAGCAGCCGCCAGGCCCATCCCTCCCCAGGGTCTGTGCTCTGGGCCCACGCAGGTGGAAAGGAACAAGGCCACCGCCCGTATGTAAGGCTGGGCACCGCTGGGGTGCCCCGAGGCCTGACAGGAGGCCGGTCAGGGCAGGAGAGGCCCGCACAGGGCAAGGGTGCCTGTGCTGGACACTCCTTCCTGGGCCTGGCCCCTCCCTCCTGCATGCCAGGGCCCCTGGTGGAGGCCCGCAGGCCCCTGCTGTCCCCATGTGGCCAGTGAGGCCCAGAAGCACACAGGGCGGGGCTGAAGGGCGCGGGTGGGAAAACCCCAGGCCTTTGAGCAGCTGTAAAGGTAGGGTCCTCCTGAGCTGTCCTCCCGGACACCGGAGCCCCGTGACCCGCAGCCCTGCGCCCGGCCTGCACTCCATGGCAGCTCAAGTCCCTCCCGGGGACGGGGACGAGCGGGGCTACCGGGACCAGCAACAGTGAGAAAGCTCCCGGGGGCGAGGGCCCAGGCCAGACGCTCGGCCCAGCTCCGCCCACCAGCTGGGCACAGGCCAGAGTCTGTGCTGCCGCGGCCGCCACCACAAGCAGGCATGAGGGGACAGTGAACTGGGCTGCACGGCCAAGCCTGCTCTGTGGCCTAGGAAAGTTAGACACTCACTGGGAAGGACTGTGGTCTCCCCGGGGTGGCCGGTCAGTGTCACGGGGATGTGAGCAGAGGCACTCGGGTCCGAGGGCTGACTGCCCATCCGGGAGACGTTCCGCTGGTTATCCGCGTCCTCCGGCTGCTCCTCCACCTTCTGGAGACAGGTGCTGGGCAGCGTGTGCCCAGGGCCCACACCCATCATCCCGCCGACCTCCAGGTCACAGTGCAGCTCCCTGCAAGCAGAACGCCCAGGACAGGCTCAGGCAGCACCGAACTCCTATGCAGTCTGCAAAGCCCAGCTCCTCAAGCCCCTACTCGGGTCAAGTGGCTTTCCTGCTGCAGTGTCACTGCGTGTGGCTCTGACTGCCTGGAAGACGAGCCAGGCTGACTCGCCGTCCACACTGGCACACGGCAGGGCAGGGCCTCTCCCACAGCATGTGAGGGGACTGCATGGGGCGAGGAAGCCTGGAGAGGACATCCCTGAGCCCCCCGGACCCGCCCTGCACACAGTGATGTGGGGCTGGGAGGCTCTGGGCGGCCGTGGAGACTGCAGACCAGCCCCCACCCTGGCCCTGGGGCATAGCGCCATCGGCCGACCTGGCCAGGGAGTGGGTGGGTGGCTTCCTCTGCCGGGCCACTCGGCCTGGCTCCCTCCTGACTGCCGCTCAGGCATGGGGCTGGGAGGGGATGACGGGGCTGAGCAGGCCTGGGCGGGGCTGGGTGGGATGGCCTGTGCACCTGCCGGGTCTGCCTGGGCGCGACTCACTTGGGCTGGTGGTTCCGGAGCTCCCGGTCTCTGTCCTTGTCCTCGGGCTCGCCCTCCTTGTCTGGGGCCTCATGTGCGGGCGGGCCCTTGTGCCGAGTCCGGTGCCGCCGGGCCGGCTCCTCCCCGCTCTCCGCCTCCCGGGGGCCGGGCCTGGGGCCGCGGTGCCGGGCCCGCCGCTCGCCCTTCGCGGCCGGGGCCGCGCCCTCCTTGCCTGGCTCGGGCCCGTGCCGGTGGCCCCGGTGGCGGCGGGGCTCCCGTTCACCCAGGTCCTCTGGGGAGCCGTGCCGGTGGTGGCGCCGGCCGCCCTCGGGCCCCGGGCCGCGGGCCCGCTCCCCCCGGCCTCTCGGGGACACGCGGCATCCTTGCTGCGGCTGCGGTGAGGCCTAGGCCGCTGGTCCCCCGGGGTAGGCTCAGCGCCATCGGCCTCCGGGACCTCCGCCCGGTCCTGCTCCTCGGGCTGCGGGGCCTTGTCCCTGCCCCTGTCCCTGTCCCGGCGCCGGTGGTGCCTGCGGGGCTGGTCGGCGCCCTCTGCGCCCTCAGGCCGGGCCTTGCACCCCGGGGGCCCCCGCGGGCCAGCGTGGCCGGGGGCCTCCACCACGAGTGGCCGGTCCAGGTGCGTCTTCATGTCGGGCCGCAGGCGGCGCGAGGTGGCGAAGCGCAGCCGCTCCTCGGGGCCCATCTCGCTGTACAGCGCCTCGCGGCTGGCCCGCAGGTTCTGCAGCCGCAGCTGGCTGGCCCGCTGCTCCCACACCGAGCGCGCCTTGGCCGCGTTCTGCTGCCTGCTGTGGGAGAGCGGGGTGAGTGGCCGCCCGCCGCCGCCTGGGGACCCACGCGTGGACGCAGCAATGGAGGGGCGGCAGGCGGCGGGCGGCCAGAACCCCAGCGGTGATGAAGGATGTGAGTGCCCAAGGCCCCGGGTGGGGACCCCGGGTGCTGAGCGCCAGCCTGGGAGGTCCCGGCCCCTCTGCGCGGGGACAGCGGCCAGAGGCCAAGGGGTGCAGGGCGTGGGGATGACAGGCACCAGCATGAGGCGGCGGACAGGCTTCCAGGGTGGGCGGGCGTGGCCAGGTCGGCGAGGAGGGGCCAGCGTCCCCACAGGCCGGCCTCAAAAAGGCAGGGACAGGGACCCCCGCAGGCTGGGAGCTGCCCGAGGCAGCACGGACAGCGGAGCTGAGGGCCTCTCCGCCCACCCGGGAGCTGGGTGCAGGAGCCCAGTGGGCCGGCACGAGCCCAGCGGCCAGGCCCGACTGCTCCCGAGGCCCCTGCAGGGCAGCCTCCCGTCTCCGTGACCGCCTTCTCCCCAGAGCCCGGCGGCCGGTCTGAGGCTGCGCCCTGCCCTCCACGGCCTCTCTCCCGGCTCCTGGACAGAGTGGGCGCTGGCCGCAGCCTCCAGCCTGGGCGTGCCGAGGACGCCGAGCCTCAGAGCAGGGCCCCAGGCTGCCCTCCACCCACACACGGTCCCTGTGGGCGGCACCCAGGTACGCAGCGCCTGGCCATGGGTCCCGAACAAGCCCTGCCCCAGGTCATCTTTCGGCTCCAAAAGCTTCTGGGTCCCCGTGGTGGCCAAGGCCAGGCGAGGCGGCGGGGCCAGCCGCACAACAGACCGCCACCAGGCCCACAGCCCCGGGGACCCAGCGTCCCCGCTCCACGCTGAGCCAAGAGAACGGGCCACTCCAGCCACTCGGGTCGCTGACCGGCAGGGACCGGGCGCCCGAGCCCAGGACTTAGAGGCTGCACCTCACTGCCCTGCATGCAGAGGCGCCTGGAGGAGCCCGGCCTGCAGCAGGCCCAGCCCCACGGACACCGGCCCTCGGCACGGCCCCTGCTGCTGCCTGGCCTGACCTGCCTTCTGACAGGGCCCACGGACGCCGGCCACTGCCCCTGCCTCCCGAGACACAGGCCCGACCGGCCCTGTCGCCGCCTTGTCCCAGGCCCACTCTGAAGCAGCGAGCCGTGAGGAGCACCGCAGCGGGGCCCGTGAGCACCAAGGGCCATCGCCCCGGTCCCCACCGCAGCTGTTCAGTGGCGCCGCCCTGGGGCCATTCTCTGCCACACAGCAAGGCCGGCAAGGAGCTGGGCGGGTGCTGGGCCCTCAGGACTATGTCAGCGGCGTGGGGCCGCTGCTCTCCGCCTCGCCCAGGCCTGCGCCTGCCAGAACCCACACAACCGGCCCAGCACTGGGCTGTGCTGGACGGAGGAGGTGTGAGCTACAGGCCTCTCAGAGCTCCTGGAGCTGAGCAGGCCCCGCCTGCTCCTCCCGCTCCCACCCGCAGGCCCCCAACTTCAGCCTCCCGCCCGCCCGTGCACCCTGGTGCTGAGTGTCGCGCCCGCTCGGGCCTCTGCCGCTGCCTGACCTGTCGCGTCTTGGCCTTGCTCTCCCGGCTGCAGACCCAAATGATGCCCCCCTCGTCCCCCGGACTGAGCTCATGGGCAGGTCAGGCCTCCAGCGGAGAGCCAGGCCAGCCCCACAGCGGCAGCATGGCCGGGGTGCAGTCCAGGCTGCGTGGGGCCCTGGTGGTCTCCCTGGGCCTGTGCCTGAGGCCGTGCCAGCTCCACCCCCACCCTGGGGGTGCCCATGCTGCACACCCGTGTCCCTCGGACTGGGGTGGCCGCCCAGTGGGACTCAGCGGGGCCCACGCCCCTGCCCAGCGGCCAGCCCAGCTCCCTGCGCCCGCTGAGGGGCAGTGGCTCAGAAGCGGCAGTGCCGCCCACCCGGACGCAGCGGCAGGCCCTGCACCCCAGGGACCCGCTGCCGCCCGGCCTTGCCGGGAGCCGCCAGCACCCTCCCGCGGGCTCGGCGGATGCGGACGCGCCCGCTCCAGCAGGAACAAGGCCTCCTGGGGCCGCTCCCGGGAGGGAAGGGGAGCCCGGGCGCCGGGCAGCGCCTGGCACGGGGCCGCAGGGGCGCAGCGGGAAGCGTGACCGGGGGCGCCAGGAAGCGATGGCGGCGGGCGCGGGCGGGCGGGAAGCGCAGCGGAGCGACTCACGGTGAGTTCACGCTGGAGACAGACGAGCCGCGGGACGCGGCGCCTCGCGCGTGCGTGACAAGACTGCACATGCAAGAGAGAACAGGACGCGTGAGGCCGCCGGGGCCTCGGCCGAGCTCGGAGAGCCACGCCCGGGCAGAGGCCTCGCCCCGCCGCGGGACCCGCAGCCCAGGCGCCCGCCCCACGCCCCACGCGCGCCGGTGGCCGCAGCGCCTCCGAGCGGCCCCAGGCCTGTCCAAACCCTGAGGGGAACCCCAGAGCTCCCCGCCGCCCCCCGCAAGGCGGCTCCGGGGTGGCCGGGGCTGAGGCGGAGCCGCCCGCACTTGTGAGCAGCCGGCACGCGAACCAGGTATGGGTGCGAGAGTGGGAGCGAGCGTGGGGGCTGCAGCCGTGTGGACGTGGGCGGGGCCGTGCGATGGGTGCGGCTGAGCGCGACTGAGTGTGACTGAGGCCACATCTGAGTGTGAGTGTGAGCACGAGGGGAGTGTGAGTGTGAGGCTGAGCTGAGTCTTTACGTGCGGGTGCATGATGCGAGTGTGGATGTGGCGTCTGTGAGGAGGCCGAGGGGATGAGGGTGTGGACCCGTGTGAGGAGGCTGCGGGGCGAGTGTGGGTGTGGAAGCGTGCGAGGCTGAGAAGTGAGCGTGACGCTACAGGGTGCGTGTGAGCGTGAGTGTAAGTGGGTGTGAGTGGGTGTGCAGGGAGGGCCCGAGAGCCCAGGTGGCCCAGGCCCTGGTGGCAGCTCCCCGGCCCCAGGCCCGGCCTCCATGTCCGCCGGTCTCAGCTGCCCGGGTGTGGGCCAAGCCGAGCCCAGGAAACCTTGCTGAGCGTGTGGAGACACAGCGCAGCCCCCGCGGGCCCCGCTCCACAGACCCCCCAACAGCTGCGGAGCACGTCGGGGAGCTGGGCTGTGCGGAGAGGCGGGGCCGCCCTGAGGCCACGTAGGAACCGTGGGGCGGGAGCGTGGGACACAAGGGCTGCAGAGGGCATGGGTTGGGGAACCCCCAGCCTGCAGGACCCACACTGGCCCGAGAGGGGGACCCGGGACGACGCCTAGACGCAGGCCTGGAGGTGAGCGTGCCGCCCGCGCCCCCCCAGAGGACGCGCCCAGGGCCGGCGTGCCACCACGTCCCTGCGGGGAAGCGTGCCGCGCTCTCCACGGCGCGCTGAGGGCAGGCAGCCTCACAGGGGGCAGGGGGATGGCCTGGGGCGCACAGCCCGCGGTCACGCGGAGCAGTAGCCACGGCCGCATCTACACCCCGCGGCTCCCTCTCCACAGCAGACCACAAGGCCAGGGCCAGGGGAAGCAAGTGCGCGGGCGCCGGCCCCCACACAGCCAGGCCAGTCCACGCAGGCCGGGCCCCGAGGGCTCAGAGGCCACAAATGGGAGCCCGGACCCCGCGAACCTCCTGGCCACCGGGCCCGCCCCTGCCTGGGGCTCTCCCCGAGGCAGCGCCCCGCCGTCCACACACGCATGCAGAGTAACACGTGTGCTCGCACAGGAGCACACATGCACAAAGGTACACACACAGCACTGCACACGTGTGCACGCTCAGGCGCACATGTGCGTGCCCTCACATCACACACAGCAGCGGAAGTCGCACGCAGGTGCCCTAGTGTGCTCACTCACGCACACAGGATGTGTGTGCACACAGGTATGTGCGCATGCACAGCACGGACACACGGGCACACCCCCGCACCCACTCTCACATGCTTACAGGCATACCCACGAGAACGTGAACACAAGGCCACGGCACACACACTTGCGCACGCAAGCACGCGTTCGCACGCCAAGGAAGGCACACGCCTGTGCTGCAGGGAATCACGCGGGGCCGCACACATGCAGCCTGAACGCACATGTCGCCACAGACGTGCTTGGGGCCCCCCGGGCGTGGTCGCAGCACCCACGGAAGGGGGAACAGCATGAGCCCTGGTCCCCGGGGGCGGGAGGGCGGAGCCGAGCCTGGGCACCCCCTCCCGCAGGCCGCGGCCCCTCCGCCAGTGCCCGCCACACCCAGGGTGGCGGCCCCAGTCCCCTTGGCTGCTGACCTGGGCGTGGCCAGTGCCCGGAGGTCTCCGCCCTCCCCCCTCTCCCACCAGCAGGGGCGCCCACGTCGCTGCCCCCAGGGGCTGAGGGAGGCAGTTTTGGAAACTGCTGCAGTCCCGGGGCCTGAAATGCCACCTACGAACAGATCTGAGGAGCTGCCCGCAAACCCCCAGCTGCCCACGCCCCCAGCTGCCCGCCCCACCCGGCTGCCTGCCCCCCGAGCTGCCCTCCACGGCCACAGGCCGCGCCCCACATTGGGGAGCCCCACCCCGTGTGGGAGAGGCCGAGGAGCCCCCTGGCGGCCGCACTCACGGGGCCTGCGGGAGGCCACCCGCACCTGCCCGCCGCAGCGGAGTCCAGCCCGCCCGCCCGCCCGCCCGGCCTTACGCAGCGATGGAGATGTTGGCGGCAGACATGGGGCTGACTTCCGCCACCTCCTTGGCCTTCTGCAGGGCGAGCTTCTGATTGGCCGCCTCCTCCATCTCCTCCTCGTCCTGCGAGCAGAGGGACACGCAGCTGCAACGCCGCCTCCGCAACCCGCCACCGGGCCCTTCTCCGGCCGCGCCCAGGGAGACGCCTGCAGGCCTCGGCCGCAGGAGGGAGGCGCGGGCCGGGCCGCCACTCTCCAGGCGAAAGCAGAGGCTGTGCTGCCCGCCCCGACCAGGGCTCTCCAGGGAGCACGAGGCCAGGTGACCACTGCCCCGAGGCCCCATCCAGGCCCACTGGGCTCCCCGGCAGCTGACCTTCCCAACGTGCCCAGCTGCCTCGGGTCTGCTTTAGGGACACACTGACTGGGAAGGGGGCCCCATCAGCCACCACAGGATTTCTGGCGCAGAGGAGCTGCAGGTCCGGGCTGCATGCAGCGCTCGGGCCCAGCAGACGTCCTCCGGTGGGGGCAGCAGGGCCCAGGAGCGCTGCAGGCCCACGTGGCTGAGGTCCGATCCCCTTGAACAGCAAGGGCAACGCAGTCCACACCGGCGCCCAGCCCCCTCCCAAAGGGGGATCCCCAAACTGGGCAGCTGCCCAGAGGGTCCAGGGATGGGCTCCGGGGCCTCTCCCACAGCAGCGCTCAAGGACAGCGGGAGCAGAGAGGACGCCCACGCCCTGGGACGAGGGGGGGGCCACACCAGCCCCCAGGAAGCGTCAGCCCTGCGCAGACCCACCAGCAGGCAGCCTGCGGGAGGCCTCGGCCCGCTGACCACAGAAATGGGCGGGCGTGGGCCCAGGGCCAGATCCCCAGAGGAGGGAGGCGACACAAGAGAGGCTGGTCCAGGGCACCCAGGCCCCATGTCTGGGCACACTCCTGACCAGTGTCTCGCCCACCTGTGGCCAGGCCAGGCACGGCAGCCCCAACAGGTCCAGTGAGGCCCCCTAGCACCTGGGGCTGGGAGCATCAGACCAGGACGTACAGCACAGGGGGCGCTGGCCAGGGGTGTGCACAGACCACCACACACGGAAAGTATCCAGAGCACACAAGCGTGCTCAGAGCGTGCACTGGGGCGCCTGCATGCTCACAGGGGCGCCTGCATACGGGTGTGAATTGGGGCAGCGCCTTCTCCCACAGCCTGATCCGGCAGGCCAGCGTCTTCCCAGCCCCGCCCCGGCCCCGCCCTCCCAGCTCCTGGCCGGACCTGCCCTGCGAGCCGAGCCCGAGGCTGTGGCAGCAGCCCCGGAGGCGCAGTGCCAGGAAGCCAGGGAAGGTGACCGAAGACGAGGGAGGAGCTCTGGGGAGGTGTAGGAGCATGGTCAGTCCCGGCCAGGCTCAGGCCGGGAGGATCACAGGACACCCGCTGGGCAGGGCGGCAGGAGGAGGGAGGGGGGCAGCGGCCCCCAGGCGCCAGCTGGACACACGAGCTCGCTGCGACCCAGGGACGGAAAGGCCCCACAGGGAGGCCACAGGTCCTCATCGTCCTTTAGGGTCCTCAGGGCTGGGCGGTCCTCAGAGTCCACCCCGCTGTCCCATTTCTGGGGTGACACCTTCCCCATCGGCAGCTCCCAGTCATCTGTCCCGCTGCCCCCCGTGCCCCGCACCCCTCCTCCCTCTGGCCACCTGCCCAGGGGATGCCTTCTCCAGGGTGCCTCGTGGAGATCCACCTCCCAGCTGGTCTCCTCCAGCGCCACGTCCACTCCCTGGCTCCAGGAGACCCTGCAGCGTCAGCCAGGCCCCAGCCCGGGTCCTGTGGCCAGCCCGTGTCCTGCAGGGGGTGCCCGGGCACCTACCTTGGTCAGCTCCTGGGCGTTGGCGAGGTTGTCCACAGCAATGGCCAGGAAGACGTTCAGCAGGGTGTCTGGTGAACTCAGCTAAGGAAGGCACCGTCCGGCCACAGCCCCTGGACACATCCCCAGGTCCCAGCCGCCCCAGCCGCCCCAGCCTCTTCCCTCGACTACACCTGCCCTGCAGCCCCCCACCGCTGCTGGACCCAGGGGCAGCCGTCCAGGCCTAGGGGCCCCCAAGGCCCCTTCATCAGCGGGCCCCAGACACCGTGAACAGCTCCCCACCCGGCTCCTCCCCAGGCCGACGTTCCGGCGGGGCTGGGGCTGCAGTGTGGGCTGCCGGGGCCCGCGGGTGCTGTCCACTCTGCCCCTGCTGGGACCAGCCGCACCGGGGTCCTCTCCTCTGGTCTGGCGCGGCTCCCGAGAGGGGCCGCAACCACACATCCTCGCCCGCCCAGGACCAGCACCCGGGGCCGCCCAGCCGTGCCCTCACCCGGGGAGAGGCGGGGTATGTCCCCCGACAGCGCAGCCGCCCCTCAGCCCACCGGGCCTGGGGCCTCCTCCCGCCCGGCCCGCCCTGCCGGCAGCCGCCCCCGGCAGCCCCGCGCGGCCCACGAGCCTGTGCTCCCGCCCCAGGCCTCCCGGCCGCCTCTGCTCGGCACTGCGGCCTCCGGGCCGGAACACCCCTTGCTGTGGGGTGCGAGCACCCCGGTCTCTGGCACCCGTGTCTCAGCCCCGCTGACCCCCGCCTCGGACCGGCCAGCGTCTTGGGGAACTGGCCTCGCCCAGCGGCAGGTCCCCGGGGCGGGGCTGGGGCGCGGCAGTGGCTCGCAGCTCCGAGGCCGGGAACGACGACCTGGGGGCCGGGGGGGGCCGGGGGGCTCAGCGGCCGCGGCAGGCGAGGTGCGCGGGCGCGGGCAGGCCCGACTGGACGGCGCTGCCCCGGGCGCGGCCCGGGGCCCCGCGGCGCCCCCGGCTCGTGCCCGCGGCCCAGGCGCGCGAGGATACAGTTCCCGAAGAGCGTGAGGACGATGAAGTAGACGGAGGAGAACATGCCCTTGCTCACGCCGCCCTGGGACTCGATGCCGTGGTACATGACGGCGTTCCAGTCCTCGCCGGTCAGGATCTGCGGGACACGCCGCGTGGGGCCGCGCCCTTCCCGCCGGCCCCGCCCACCGAGGCCCCGCCCTTCCCGACGGCCCCGCCCACCGAGGCCCCGCCCTTCCCGACGGCCCCGCCCACCGAGGCCCCGCCCTTCCCGACGGCCCCGCCCACCGAGGCCCCGCCCTTCCCGCCGGCCCCGCCCACCGAGGCCCCGCCCTTCCCGCCGGCCCCGCCCACCGAGGCCCCGCCCTTCCCGCCGGACCCGCCCACCGAGGCCGCGCCCTTCCCGCCGGACCCGCCCACCGAGGCCGCGCCCTTCCCGCCGGACCCGCCCACCGAGGCCTCGCCCTTCCCGCCGGCCCCGCCCTTCCCGACAGCCCCGCCCACCGAGGCCCCGCCCTTCCCGCCGGACCCGCCCACCGAGGCCCCGCCCTTCCCGCCGGACCCGCCCACCGAGGCCCCGCCCTTCCCGCCGGACCCGCCCACCGAGGCCCCGCCCACCGAGGCCGCGCCCTTCCCGCCGGCCCCGCCCGCCCCAATGCTCCGCCCTTCCTGCAGGACCCGCCCGCCCGAGGACCCGCCCTTCCCGCCGGCCCCGCCCACCCGAGGCCCCGCCCACCGAGGCCCCGCCCTTCCCGCAGGGCGGGGCCCGACCCGGGACAGCGGGAGGCACCGGGGTGGGGGCGCCGGGCCCCTGACCGCGCTCCCGGCCCCTCCGCGGGGAGCTCGCCCCGCGGACCCGGCGCGCGTCCGGTCGCGAGCACCCCGCACCCCGGCGTGTGCCGGCGCCCCACTGCCGCGCACGGGTCCGGAGTGGACAGGGAAGGGGCCCCTCCCGCAGGGCGGACTCCCGAGCCCGCCCTGCGTGCTGACTCCGCAGGCGCCGGGAGGGTCACGTCCCCGCAGGCCCTGCCGGTGGGCGCGGCCGCCGCCCGGCCAGCCCAGGCCCCTCAGGGTGCGCGTCCACGCTGTCGCTGCGAGGGTCGCTCTTGGGGCGGGTCTCCCGGTTAAGCGGCCACACACAAAAGCCCTGGCGCTGCGCGGAGCTTGGCCACGGCGCTGCCTGCGCTTGTGTCCCCCTGGTGCCCCGCGGGACACGGGACAGCCACGCGTCCACCTGAAGCCCTGCCATCCACAGGGCAGCCACGTGGCTCACAGCCCTTAACGGGTCATCTGCGCCTGCTCCACCATCGTTCCTGCGCTTCGCACGGGGACCCCGCCCTCTGAGCACCGGCGTCCTGGTCCAGCCTCACTCCCCCTGCGGTCGGCCTGGGTCAGTCTGGGCTCGCAGGGAGCAGCAGCACCCAGAGACAGAAGTGCCCACAGCGGGCAGAGCCACGCACCCTGGCGCAGGCCAAGGCCGTGGCCACAGGGAATGAACGTGCAGCGGGAGCCGCAGACGTGCCCGCTGGCCCAGGCAGTCTGAGGCGGCCAGCCCCGGGCCTTGCGCTCACTCGCCCAGGAACACCGCCAACTCCCAGGGGCCAGTCTGGGTTGCAGCGGCACCCTGGGCCAGCGGACACGGAGAGCCAGTCTCACCAGTCCAGTGCCACCGCTGCGGCCAGACTGAGGTGGCCACAGGCCTGCTGCAGCACCAGGCGCTCTCCCCGTCCTTGGCTACCAGCTTCCTGCAACTCAGGCGCTGGGTGCGAGCTCGGGAACACTCAAGCCCAGGCCGCAAGGCCCAGACAGCTCTTGCCTCAATAAAAACATGAGAAAGGAAGGAAGGCACCTGCTTGACATACCCCACGGCACACGCTGCACCCCAGTGGCTGCCCTTGCGGTCCCACACCCGTGTTCTGGCACCCAGCCCGGCCCCGCCTGCAGCCAGCGCCCAGCAGCATGGCTGACCGGCCAAGCGGCCGCCCCCACCCCAGCACCCGCCCGCCCACCCGCACCCCACTGGGAGCTGTGTGCATCCCCACCTGACCAAGGATGCCCCGATGGCCATCACAGGCACAGCCTGGTGCCTCCAGGGTGTAGGGCCACCCCCTGCTGGTCAGAGGCAGGAGGGCCAAGCAGTCGGGCAGAGGTCTCAGCCCAGCTCAAGGAGCCGTGCTGGGCCTCCTTAGCACCAACCCCGCAGCCCACCAAACCAATGGGCTCAGGCTGGAAGGCCCACCCGTGAGCACCAGGCCACGCTCCCCGCATGCAGCAGTAAAGGCCCTGTGGGACCCCCAGCAGCAGAAAGGGGCACATGCACCCTCAGACAGCAGTTCTGGCAGAGACACACCTGGGAAGCGTCTGCCCCTGAGAGCCCAAAGCTGTCCCACCATACTGGCCACCGGGTCCACCTGCCGTGGGCCCCCGGCTGGCCACGGGAATGGTGAGACTTGCAGGCGTCTGTGTTTGGCATTGGCTTCTGCTGTGGGACCTGGACTCCTAGCAGTGGGGCCAGCCAGGTCGGCTGGGCAGGTATCCCTCAGGGTCACCTTGAGGCCCCAGAGAAGCCGACCCCGCAGAGGACAGCAGGCTCCAACCCATGCCTTGCCCACAGCCTGGCCCCACCTGCACGGGGGTCGGAGCACTGGCGCCTGGGGCCAGGGACAAGGCCAGGATGCCAGGGGTCCTGGGGCTTTGCAGTGATGCAGGGCGAAGCCCCCCAGACAAGGACTCTCAGTCCCTGGCTTCACCAGGGGCTCCCTCACTCCCCTCCAGCCCACAGGTTCTTGCCCCTCAGTGGCCTCCGCGTGAGGTGGGCTCCAGCCTGTGCCGTGTCCAGCAGCAAGGCTGGGCTCGGGGGGAGCCTGTGTCCCAGGCAGGGGCTTCCAGCACCCACGCGGCTGAGAGTCGGAACCGCCTGGGCCCGTCCTCCCCTCACACTGTGTCCAGCGACAGCAGAGGCAACCGGCCAATCTCATTTGCTGGTTTTCTAAGACTGTCCCAGGAATCCTGCACAGCCCAGCTCTGACTCTTTCAGGGCAGTCCTCAGGGCGCAGCCTCGAGCTGGAGCCCACAGGGGACCTGTGGTTGCCGCTGTGGTCCAGAGTCAGCCTCAGACACCCGCTGCGCAGGCAAGCCCCCCCGCCCCGGGGCAAGTCCACACACAACCCACCCAGCGCACCAGCTTGTTTCTGCAAGGCTTGCCGCCTTTTCAAGACAAGCTTTACTGACCTAGGAACTGAAACTGAAGTGCCCCCGTGGCGGGAGCAGGAGCCGGCAGCAGCAGCGCCCGGCTCTCAAAAGCCACTCCGGCCCAGCCACTGCCCTTTAATACTTGGGGCTGGGATCCCACAACGGGCCAATCAGGTACGAGCCAAGAGCTGATCGGTGCTAAAGGGTCCAATCAGCCACAGGATGGAAAGATGGTCCAACCAGACTTGTGGGTGGGGCACGCTGAGCGAGGCTACAAGGCAGGCCTGAGGGAGCTCCCGGGACTGCTCCTGGCAGCTGAAGAAAGAATCCAGCAGCCGACCTCCAAGGAAGGGAAACCGAAGACCTTCGCAGAGACAGAGCCAGGGCACCTGCTCGCACCTGCCGCTGACATGGCCTGAGAGGCGCACCGAAGGCCTGGTGTCTCGGGCACCTCCCAGTGACCGGTGATGCGGTCCCTACTGGCCAGTGCTGCCCAGCTCTGTTGACAGGTGGCTGGTCCTCTGCTTGTACTTCTGGTGGGCACGATCTGGGGGAGGCCGCCTGTGGCCGCAGTGAGCTCCTTGTCCCATATAAACCCCAGGGTGGCTATTCCGCCCGGTGGGCTCTGTCCATCGACCCACTACCGCCCCCTGCTGGACAGGGGTAGCTACAGCGCTTGGGTTGGCAGCTGGTCTCAGCAGCCCAGTTTCAAATTCACATGCCACGGAATTGAGTCTCTTGTGACACTAGGGCAGCGGTTTGTGTCACAGTCACGGGCATCACCGTAATTGGCTTCAGAGCATCTTTATCTCCTCAGGAAAGAAACCCACACCTGTGCCCTCCACCAGGCCTTGGAGCTGTTGGGCTCCACCGACTCCTGGCGTAAGCTGCCTTCATGGCGCCATCATGTCCAACCCCGCACCTCTCGACGGACGCTGCTGCTTCGCTCCCAGGCATGCGAGGTGGGGGCGGCGGGGTGACATGGGCTGCAGACCCCAGCACCTCATTTGAACTCCTCGTGCCCGGACCGACCACGGTGCCACGGAGACAGGCACAGGGCCCTGAGAGCAGGCGTGTGGCGGCACCCTGGGTGGGTGACAGCCCAGCTGCGTGTAACCGTGGTAGGCGACATGAGGTGGCACTGGCTCCCATCCGCAGCCCAGGGAGCAGGCGAGACCCTGCCTGTGCACCCCACAGGCTCTGCTGAGCCTCACGCCTCAGCCCACTCTGCCGAGCTCCGTCTGGAGTGCCCAGACACACACACTTTGGGTCTGGGGTCAGCGGCTGCAGCGCGAGGGCCTCCTGCACAGCCGCACTGGGCTTCGAGCATCTTTCCAGGTGGTTCCCGTCTGCCGCAGACATCCGGGGCATGTCTGTGTCATACCAGGTGCGGGGCTGGGGCCTCCTCCAGGCCCCGCCAACCCCACTGGCCTGGCCCGGCCGCGCACCGGGTCCTCGCTGCCTCTTCAGTGGCTGCTCCCTCCCGAGACGGCTGAGCCAGCAGCCGGCGCTCCCGTGAGGGGACACTCCCCTCGCTGCGGCCAGGCCGGGGGTGGCAGACGACAGCTCCCCCCGACCCTCAGTTGCTCTTCGCAATACGACTGCGCAGGTTTTCCTCCTTGCGCTAACTTGAGGCTGAAATCTTCCCATAAAAGAGCGTCTCGCCGACTGCCCCAAATCCAGGCAGGATGCTCTGGGCTCGGCTGCCCCCGGCTCTCCTTGCTCTGCCCCACATCTGCTCTGCCCTCGCGGGCCCGGGTTTACGCCTCTCGCCGGCGTTTGCGCTCATAGTCACCGGAACCCACTGGCTCAGCGGGGGGAGCTGCAGGACTGGGTGTCTCTCGCCCTGCGGCTCAGCCAAGTCGGCGCGGCAGCTGCTCCTCAGAGTCCAGTAACTGCCGTTTGTGACGGACCGACCAGGTGCGAGCTGTTTGCCGAATGGTGCTAAACAGTCCAAGCAGATGTGTGGGTGACAGAAGATCTAAGCCAGGGCCAGAGGGAGCTGAGGAGCCCCCAAAGGAGAGGAGACGATGCCAGCCTCCGAAGGAAGAAGAAAAGCAGCGTCCAGAAGGCCCCAGGAGGGGAGGAGCCGGAGGACTGGTCACAGACGGGCCTCCGCCCTGTCTCTGATGTCGCCCCAGAGGAGCCCCAAGGCCCGGCCTGGGTCCCAAAGAGCTGCTGTTGCTGGTGCCGCCCGACAACTCACCCGGGGCTGTGACACTGAGTGTCTCTGACCCCGCCTCTGAGGGTCCAGCAGTGGCCATGCCTACTGGCCAGTGCCGTCCAGTGCTCCTGGCGACTGGTGGCACCATCACTGATGGTCCCTGGGTGAGGCGGCCGCCACTTGTGGCCACACGAGCGCTGTCTCCCTGCTTGTAAGACACCCCGCGGCGGCTGTTCCTGGAGCCTGCGGTCTCCTGCAGCTGGGGGGGGGGGGAGCCCACAGACTGACGTGTCCTCTCACCAGGCCGTCCTTTGTTAGGCTCTACCTCTTGGTTTTGATTTTTGGCCTTTTGGGGCTTTTGGGTGGCACTCTGGCCTTGGCGCCTGCGCAAGAGGGTGAACGTTCCATCCATCCGGCCCCCTGCCCTGTGGCCTCTTTTGTGGCCCTCTCGGCCTGTTTCATTGTCGGACTTGGCTCCTGCTTCCCGTTTTGCTCTGGCTTGTTCTGTATTTTGCTAGTGTTAAGAAGAGTCCATCACCTGGACAGTCACGCCCAGGTCATAGCTGCCCCCTCAACCTGGCCTCAGCCGTCCGGTTCTGATTGGGCTGCTCGCCCTGAGCCTTTGTGATGTCTCGTGCCGGCTCCTTTGCCCACCCCTGGGCTTGCAAGCGTGTGGAGACTCTGGACGGCCTTTCCCCACATCCGCTGCTCACTGACAGAGCATGTGCTGTGGGCAGCGGCTCTGCGTCCTCGAAACTCCGGGAGACCAGACAAGGGGCGGCTCTGTGACTGTCCTCAGGGCTGCAGAGCACCCCCTGCCCTGGCCCCCACCGAGCCCCTGCACCCCCATCCGCCGCCCCCTCACTGCACCACCCCCCACTCCTCCGCCGCAGCCGTGAGCAGCAGCCCGGCCGGGTCCCCCCCAGAGGCCCCACGCCCCAGGAGCCTCACAGGCAACGGTGCTCCCCCAGGAAGCACTGCTCCTCAGGCTGCCCCATGGCCTCTGCTTCGCTGTCCACACCCTGCACTCGGGCCCAGGCCTCCCTGTCTGCTGGCCCTGCAGGCCCATCCACCCCAGGCCCGTGCTCATGATCTGCCTTTTTATGTGATACGCGAGATTTCTAATATCATGAAAACTGTCGGTCGTTTTCTTCAAAATCTGCTTTTCACCTTCTTCAAGGCCCTCCCCACCTGAGCTAACGGTGTCACAGCCCTGTAAGTCCTTCCAAGATTCTAGGTTTGCTGTTTCACAGGGAGGTCACTTAACCACCCACACTGGTTTTCAACTTTGGGTCAAGCAGGGGCCGATCTCAAGGCTCCCCCAGGGCGCGGTGCCAGCTCTCGGGGCCCCCAGGTGGATGGCGCTTCACCGACACTTCTCTCCTCCTGGTCAACTCTGACAAGCCTCAATTCATTTGTCCTCGTCCCGCCTGCCAAGCCCAGTGCAGCTGGACAGCGCGAGGCTTTGAGGTGGACGGTCCACGCGCAGGGGGCGGCCCTGTGGCCAGGGCCACAGCGTGGCCCCACTGCCCCCACGTGGGTTTCCTCTTGCACCCCGAGGGTGGCGAGACCCATCGGGCTCCCGGCTGGACCTCTTGGATGTACCTCTCGGATGGACTCGGCTGCCCTCAGGGGCACCTCAAGCTTCCTGGACTCGACAGCGGTTTTCCCCTTCTGTGTTGCTTGTCTCTGAGCCGAGGTATGTGGTGTCCTGTTCTTCCATCGTCCTTGTCTCATCTTCCCATCCCCAGGCTGTTTTGGCCTCATAAAGGGAGCTGGCACTGCCCCTGCCTCTTCTGGGGCAGCTGCACAACCTGAGACGGCCGCCCTCCCGGGCGGCAGGGTTCATGGTCAATGCAGCAGCAGGCGGCGGCTCGGTGGGTGATTTCCAGAGATCCGATTTCTGAAACAGCTTGGGTTTCTATTTCTTCCTGGGTTTGTGTGTGGACAGCCGCCCGGGCCCCCCGGCTCCCCCTGTGGGTGCAGGCAGCGCTCCTGGTCCTGCCCCGACCCCCCATACCCGAGCCTGTCTCTGCCCAGAGCCGCCCTGCCCGTGGCCCGAGCCAGTGCTGGGCCCTCCCTCCAGCCGCACACCCAGGCCGGCCCCGCAGTGACCTGCTCGGGCGCCTGCTGTGGCTCAGGGCAAGGGCCCCCACAGCGGGTTGGGGAGCCCAGGGCTTGCCTGGCCAGACAGGCCGCCACCCTCTTGCTTCATCCCCTGGGCCCCACAGAGCAGTCCCGCCACCCACCCCATCCCCACTGTCCCCCACGAGGCAGAGCCCATGTCATCCACGCTCCTCCCTGCCAGGAGGCCCGACAGCCTGGCCACTGCCAACGCCCACCCGACACCCACACATGGGGCGCCCTGGCCGCCCGGGAGGAAGTGACCCCTGCACATCACCGAGCAGGACCCGAGGGGGCCGGGGGGCTCCCAGACACAGGCGGGTTGGCCAGGCCGAGGGCACACGGCTGCCCTCAAAGAGCAGGCAACGGCCAGAGTTCAGCCCTGGGTGGAGTGGGGAGCCGTGGACACACCCCCCGCCCCTGCCCCGCCCCCCACGCCCACTCCCTCTGTGCCAGCAGGCGCAGAGCACCCACGAGGGGGTGGGGGGGTGCGGCCAGGGCCCCACCTGGAAGACAGTGAGGATGGCAGCGGGGAAGGTGTCAAAGTTGGTGGTTGGCGTCTCGTCCCTGAAGTTGAACCTGAGGAAAGAGGCCTCCGTCAGGGCAGCCCGTGGGGGCAGGAGCGCCTGGCCCGGGTGCTGGCCCCCAGCCTGGGGCCCCTCCCACCCCCCCGGCCTCGCCAGCGGCAGGCCCACTTACTGGCCCCCGAACAGCTGCATGCCCAGCAGAGCGAAGACCACGATGAACAGGAAGAGCAGGAAGAGCAGGCTGACGATGGACTTCATGGAGTTGAGCAGCGACACCACCAGGTTCCGCAGCGAGTTCCAGTACCTGCGGGCGGCCGGCCTGAGCCCACGGCCTGAGCCCCACACCCGGCTGGGCCGAGCACCCCCTTCCTGGACCCGCCTCAGCATCCCGGCCCCACCCCGACGTCACCCTGTCCCACCCTCTCGCCAGCACCAGCCTCAGTGCCCAGCAGCGGCTCTGCCGTCATGGACGCCTGCAAGAGGACTGCGCGGGGACCAGGGACGTTCACACAGGGGCAGGCCCTGGCCGCCTCCCCCACCCCAACTACAGGGGTGGGGTTCCCAGGGAGTGACCTGGCAGGCTCAGGAGAGGCCTCCCAGGTGACGGGGCTGCCCTCAGCAGCACGGGGGTGAGCCAGGATGCTGCCCGCCAGGAACCCAGGGGAATGCGCCGCAGCTTTCAATGCTGAGGCTGTGGGGCGGCGGGGGGTGGGGCGGCGGGGGGGTGGGGCGCCCAGCCGTGACCCCAGCTCTGGCCAAGAGGACAGAGGCAACAGGCCTCTCTGACCACTTCACGCTCCATTCTGGGCTTTGGTCCCCCCGAAGGCAGAGCGGCGCCTCAGGTGATGCAAAGAATCAAGAGGACCAGAGAGCACCGCAGCCTCAGGGAGGGAGTGGGCAGGGTCCAGCGGGTCCGGGGAGGGAGTGGAATGGCCCGGCAGGCTGGCAGGGAGCAGGCTGTGCTGGCCGGTCCCCGTGCTGGCCCAGGGACATACTTGGTGACCTTGAAGATGCGCAGCAGCCGGAGCGCCCGCAACACGCTGATCCCGAAGGAGGTGCCTGGCTTGATGGCCGCCCAGACCACCTCAAAGATGCTGCCCACGATGACCTGCAAGGGAGAACGTGTCTGTGGGTGTGTCTACGGGTGTGTGCCGTGTCTACAGGTGTGTTCCGTGTCCGTAGGTGTGCCCCGTGTCCGCAGGTGTGCCGCGTGTCTGCACTTGTGCACGTGTCTGTACATGTGGCCATGTGGCGTAACTGCACATGTACACATATCTCCCTCTGCAGCACCCACCCACCTTCCCCTGCTGCAGCTCAAGCCAACGAGCCCAGCGGCACCCAGCCCCCGACCAGCCTGTCCCCCGTGGCAGGCGCAGTGGCCAGCGACTTCTGTCTGAGGCCCCCGAGCTGCTCTCTCCAGGCTTCCTGGGTACCTGCGGAGACAACTCAGACTGCCAGCTGTGCCCAGGGCCCCAGATTCTCGGCTACCTTCTCCCAGACACCCCACCTGCCCGCCTCATCCAGATCTGGGCATATCCTTCCCGGTGACAGAGCCACGGGTGCCACCCAGGTCAGACTGCACCAGTGGCCTCTGGCCTCCGCTTCGGTGCAGGACTCAGCGTGTCCATGGTGATTGGGGCGATGACCCGCTCCACAGAGGGACAGCAGCCTGTGTCCAGCATGAGCACCCAGCAAGGACAGAACACGGCCCGGCCCCCAGGCCACATGGAACACGCTACCCCACCCCTGCCCCCCTCAGCAGGTGCTCAGGCCCAGCCGGGCCCACCCGACACCCCGTAACGGGTGGCTGAAGCCAAAGACTGTTCAGGGGGTGCCTAGAAGGGTGCTGGTGAGGATGGAGCCCCAGGGAAAATGCTAAGACGTATCGCATTTTGAGGGGGGAGAATCTAATGAGGGATGTAAGTGAAGGCAGAAGCAACCCCAGCATTCGGTATCCAAGGTTTAGAAGGCTGTTGTGGCGTCTAATGGTGTAGGCGGCCAGCGGCCAGCCTCAGAAAGGAACAGTTCCAGGCTTTGTGAGCAGCCGAGCCACCAGAATTGTTCCCGGTTTTGACTCTGGGACTGACGTTCAGACACTGGGGCCAGCGCTGGGGGGTTGGCACCACCACACATGGGGCCGCAGTCGGAGGACAGAGCCAGGCCTGGCCATGGGCTCTGGAAGTCGCGCCTCACGAGAATGCGGGCAGAGGGCCCTCCCGGCAGGGAGCTGCTCTGTGCACTGGGCCCCAGGGGACAGCCCCACACCCCACAGAGCTCTTCAAAGGCCGCAGGGGCAGGACCAGCACAGCCCGGCTTGAACGGGGAGGGCACAGCAGGCCCCAAGTCCCACCAGCAGACTGAGGCTAGGGCTGCCGCCAGCCCCTCCTCCCTCACACGCTGCTCGTGCGCCACCCAGGGAGGGCCATGGGCGAGGCTACTCCTCGGAGCCTGTCGGAGCACATGGGGCCAGGAGCACACACCTGCAGCTGCGCGGGCTGGCGCAAGGCCTGGCAGCCCCCACGCTGGAGCCCGACCTCGGAGGTGCCCGCTGTCCAGCATTCGCCAGCCTAAGCACCCGGCCCCGCGTTCTGGGCCTTGGCCAGTGCTCACGGCCCCCCGGGCAAAACTGCCCTCACACTCAGTGGGCAGTGAGAACAAGAGCTAGTCTCTGCCCAGCCGCCTGTCAAGATGTCAGCGCAGGTCTCAGCCGACAGCCCCAGAGACCCCATCACTCCCTCCCCATGGACCAGGCCCCGGCAGCCGGGAAACCGCGTCCCATTCCTGCCCTGCCCCAGCCCCGCTGCTGAACTCTCCAGCTGCAGCTCTACTGCTCCAGGGTCCAGGCCCTCCAGCTGGCCGGAGCCTCACTGGGAAAGGTCGGCCTCCAGGCAGCAGCGGGCACCAGGCCTGGGCCCAGCAGAAGGCGGCGCCCAATGGGCAGCCACGCTCAGGGCCACTGTCCCAGGCAGGCCGGGCTCCTGGACAAGCCGCCCCGCAGGCCCTGCTGGCATGGCTCCAGGCGGGGGGCACCCTCCAGACTTACCCCAAAGTCGAAGCAGTTGAAGGAGGACCGGAAGTAGCTCCTGGGTCCCAGACCGTACATCTTCAGAGACATCTCTGTGAGGAAGAGACCCAGGAAAACAAACTCTGCAAAGTCTAGAAGAAGCCGGAGAAGAGGGGGTTAGCTCGCGCCCCACGTGGCTCCAATCCAGGGCTCTGGGCCCTCCAGGCCTGGCTGCAGCCCAAGCTCTGAGGCCACCAGCCAGTTTGGGGTCACCGCTGGGCCAGCGAGCAGGCAGGAGGTTCCTGGGGCCCCAGAGAAGGCCCAAGGCCGCCAAGCACAGACGGGTCGCTCCTCCCCAGCTCCTCATTCCACTGGCCCCTCGCCGGAGCCCCGTGGCAGCGGCCTGGTCCTCAGGCGGCGCCGGGAGGGGGGCTCAAGGGCCGGGAACTATGCCCACTCTGTGAGGTGCGGGGCTCCGGGGGCGACAGCAAGCAGACCACCTCGCCAGGGGCCCAACCCAGCCAAGCTGAGCCAGAGGGCCTCAGGGTGGGAGGGAGGACACTGCACCCAACCCAGGACAAGCGAGAAAAAGATGTTTATCCAGAAGCCAGACAGCGGGGCACACAGCGGCCTGGCCATGGCCATGCGAGGACGCCAGGCAGCAAGGCCGGGCCGACCCTCCCGCCGGGTACAGCTGCCCTGACCCTGGGGCTGCCTCACCCCAAGGCAGGGCCAGCAAAGCAGCTCAGAGCTCAGGGTAGCGCCGGGTAGCGGGGCTTTACCACGGCACAAGGTGGGTGAAGGCCGCCCCTGCCCGCTGCCCACAGGTCCGGGATGGGCAGCTTGCCACAGACAGGCCTGTCCAGAGGGGCTCCAGGAAGACCCCTTTCTCCGGCCACGTCAGCCAAGCCCCGGCAGGCCGCTCCGGAAGCCTCTGAGGCCCAACCCAGGGGCCTGACTCGGCAGACAGGCCAGAACACCAGGCAGCCTGCGGGCACGAGGGGCCAGCACCACCTGAGTGACCCTCCTCCCTGGGCTGGCCCCAAGTCCAGCTCAGTGTCCTGGCCACCTGCCAGAACCCGGGGCTCCTGGGCCCAAGCCCCAGGGCTCCGTCCCTCTCGGGCGCTGGCGGCTGCGGGAGGCGGCCGGGCAGCGCAGCTACCTACACAGCGCAGTGGTGAGCGGCTGCGGCTGGTCGTAGTGCACCATGGCCACACACAGCGTGTTCAGGGCCACCACGCACAGCACGGCCCAGTAGAAGCTCTGCGCCTTCACCATGCGCCGCACCAGGAACCGGAACAGCTTCTCCTTCCGGCGGAAGTACGAGCTCTCCGTCTTCCCGCTCTTGAGGCTGGCACGGGCGAAGGGGGAGCCTGGGGGACAGGGGCGGCTGAAGACGGGGCCTCCACAGCCAGCCCAGGCACTTGCCCCAGCACCAGGGCCAGGCAAGTGGCTGTGCATGGTCCCTGCACCCCACTCCTCAATGAAGGGCCCAGAGTCTCGTGGTCAACACTGCAGTGGGCCCCAGAGGAGCTGGACAGGAGTTGCTGTCAGGGCTGGGAGCTCGGCCTGATGCCCAGCCCGGGGCCCCCCGCCCTCCCTCGTCAGAGGAGCAGCCTCGGCTGCTGTCAGGAAGCCGTACTGGGATGAGCGCGAGAGCACCCTGCTCTTCGTGAGCCCGCGGCTGCTGCATGGCCACTGGACCCATCAGACCAGAGCAGGGAGTTTGCTGGAGACGCTGCCCCTTCCCCGGCCCCACGCCACTGCCCCCGCACGCCAGTCTTTTGACCCGGGGTGAGGGTGGGGCAGACAGCCAGGCAGGGAGGCACCCAAGGCCACAGAACGGCTGCCTTGGGCAGGAGTGCAGCACCCAGGCTGGAGGCTGGACACAGTGCCCACCCCTGCCTGCACGCCCAGCACTGAGATGCCCGCCCCTGCCCACCCAGGGACGGGAGGCCTCCAGCCCCAGCCACGGCTGCAGGCCAAGTGGCTCATGCAGTGGAACCTGTGGGCCACCAGCCAAGGGCAGGCACCCAGGCCCGGCAGGCACCTGGGCAACACTCACCCACAGCGCACAGGTCCGCGAACCTGTCCTCACCCTCCTCTGCATGGATCAGGTCGTTGCGGCTCTTCTTGGTGGCCGCCCGCTTCAGCACTGCTCCAGACAGAGAAGGGTGAGCCATGTCCATGGCCGCCTCCCTATCTGCCCTGCACACTGTCCTGAGGTGGAGCGGAGGGGAAGCCCGGGACAAAATGGGAATAGGGCCCAGCCCCGTGCGGGAGGAGCTGTGCAGTCTGCTGGGTCCTGGCCTGTGGACGGGAGCTTTCTCTGGGACATCCCGGGCCTGGACAGGTAGGGTTCAGGTAACCCCTGCAGCTCTGGAGCCTGTGGAGCCGTCTCTGCCCACCGACCCTCTGGACAGCGCTTCTCCACTGGCCCCACAGCCCTGACACTGGGGATGAGTGGGCAGAAGGAGCGCCTGGTCCACTCCCACCTCGCGCGCAGCCAGCAAGCCCGGGGCAGGTGGTGGGCACGGGTCGGCCACCCACGGGGCTCCCCAGGGCCTGGCCTGGGCCACGCAGGGCAGGGCACAGAGGCCGCACCTGCCCCCCAGCCTGCGGCAAGGAGCACGACCAGCGGCCACCTACCGTCCAACGGGGACTTCTCCTCCGCGTTTTTGTCTTCCTCAGCCAGCATGACCTCCTCTGTGAGGGAGACACAGGCTCAGGGCCGGCAGCCCCGCCTGACCAGGCTCGCCACGGCCGGTGCCTCCAGGAGCCGGGGGCTCAGCCGAGCCGTGGCCGTGGCACAGCACCCGCGCACATACGCAGGCCACGTGAGGACGGCGGCCCGGGCGGCCCCGCCGCACCCCCAGAGCCCACAGCCGCGGGTGCCAGGCCCAGGGCAGGGGGAGGCCGGCTCCCTCCCCAGGACCAGGCCCGACGAGGCCCGACGAGGCCCGACAGACGCGCCGGCCTCACCTGCCTTGAAGATCCACTCCAGGTAGCCGTTGAGCTCCCGCTCGATCTGCTGCTGCCTGCGGAGCTTCAGAAAGGCCCTGCGGTTCTCCACGCGCTCGCGCTCCTTGGCAAACTCGCTGCGGGGAGCGGGGTGGGGGTGAGTGCGCGTGGGGCCGCCCGGCCTCTCCCCCGGCCCCCGCCGGCCCGGCCGCCCCCGCCAGGGTGGGGGACACGCGGCGCGGGACCCGCCAGCCCGTCCCCGCCGAGAGGCCCAGCAAGGAGCTGCCCCGGGCGCCCCAGCCGGCGGCCGGCAGCGCCCAAGCTTTAGGCTCCGCCGAGGAAGCCACTTCGGTCCTGCTGTGGGTCAGAACCGCCCTGTCCAGCCGGGTCGGTGCCCGCCCGGCCCCGCCCCCGCCCCGCCCCCGCCCCGCCCCCGCCCCGCCCCCGCCCCACAGAGCGCGTCATGCCCAGCCACGCCCTCCATGCTGGGCCCCGCCCCCGGCCTAGCCCCGCCCCTGCTAGCCCCGCCCCCAGCTGGACCACGCCCCGCCGGGCACCGCCCCTGCCGACCCTGGAGGCCAGAGGCCGAGCCACGCCCCCTGCCAAGCCACAGCTGGGCGGTTGGACGCCAAAGGGGCTGCGGCCTCGCTGGGGGGGTCTGGGGGAGACCATGCGGGGCGCACCCCTGCCAGGAGTGAGGCCGCAGCACGTGGCTGAGCCAGAGTGAGCGGGCCTGGCCCAGCCGGTCCTCTCCAGGCCAGCACCCTGCCCAGCCCCTCAGGAGCCCCGGCCAGGCGGGGCTTGCGGGGGGCACGTGGCATTTCCCCCCAGCCTCCCGGGGTCTGAGGCCAGCCCAGTCCTCTGCTGCCATCCTGGCACAGCCACCTCGGCCCCCCGCCCCTCGGGAGGGAGGGTGCCTGCACCCACAGGTCAGCCCTGGCCACACCAGCCACCACGACTGCCAATGTCAGGAGGCACCCCGGCCCTCGCCTGCCCTCATCCGTGTCCTCGGCTGCTGGCTGAGAGGTGGCCGGGGCTGGGGACGCCAGAGGTTGCTGGGACCTGCATGCACACTCAGGGCCACTGCCCCTGCAGCCGCAGAGGCAGCTTGGCCCCAGGGGCCCCAGGGAGGGCAGCTGCAGGGGCCAGGATGGTCAAGGCTGACCAGAGCTCAGAGCAGGGGGCCACCGACGGGGTGGGCTGGGCCAGGCCCCACCCCCACCCGGCAGGGACTGGCCAGTGCTGAGCCTGCGGACACAAGGGGCCGGGCGCCACTCACCCGGACAGCACGCCCAGCACCAGGTTCAGCATGAAGAAGGAGCCGATGATGATGAGAGGGATGAAGTACAGCCAGTTCCAGGTGTTGCCGGCTGCGTCGTTCGTCTGGAAACAAGGAGGCGAGGAGGAGGGACAAGTGGACGAGAAGCACGGCCGTGGCCACAGACACGCCCCAAGCCCCTCGGGACGAACACCTGGCGGAGTCCAGGCAGGGGCAGGAGGGGACCTGCCGGGAACGCCCCTGAGGACTCCGTCTGGGGCTGCAAACCCCCTGGGGTCAAGATGCCTGGCGCTCCTGGCCGCCGCCCTGCAGAGCAGAGGAGCCGGGGGACGTCCAAGGGCAGGGGCTGCCCAGAGCGCCCTATGGGCAGGAGGCGGCCTCCGCTGGGCTCACCCTGCCCCCTAGTCCGCTGCAGACACCTCCTCATGTGCAGCCCACAGACCCTAGCCCCAGGCCCTGTTCGTCCGCAGCAGCTCCGATGACTCGGGCCAGGTGCACAGGCAAGGCCACCCGGCCAGAAACAGACCCGCCCGGCCGGTCCGGGGCAGAGCGCAGAGAAGAGTCGCCCCGGCCTCCTGCGCAGGAGCCCACCCAAGGCAGCCCCTCTGCACCAGCCTCACCGACGCTGATCTCTGTGGGCCCCCAGCAGAGGGGGCCCAGGGACCCGCACCCTGTCCAGGCGAGGCCATAGGCAGGGCAGTGGCGGCACGGCCCCTTCCTGCCTCCACTGGGTGCCCCGGCTGGTGGGAGACAATCCATAGCTCCCCACCGGTGAGAGACACCGGGTTCTCAGCTGCCAAGAGAAGAGCCGTCAACACAAACATCGACATGCCCCATGGGCATGAGGGGTCAACGCTTTCTCGGAGCACAGCTGAGGCCACGGGCACTGGAGCCCTGAGGAGCCGACACGCGGGGGCAGGACGGCGGGACGGCGGCACCGCTGAGACAGCGGGGGAACGACGCTCAGGAAACCAGCAAGGACATAAAAGACCCGGCGACGGCTCAGCCGCTCGTTTGCCACAGCCACGCCCGCCAGCAACACCAAGGGCCGCGCGAGGGACAGGCCAGCCTAGCGCGAGGCCCCCAGCCCCACACTCGGGAGCCCTGAGGGCCAATTCAGAGTGTTCTTGGGTCGCTCAGTAACTAACCTCAGATGCCCACGGGACGGTCTCCAAGCAGAGTGAGCTGCAGATGCCTGAACAATCACGGGCTAGAGAAACGCTCCCAAGGGAAATTATAAACACACTGAACTGAAGAAAAACCTACGGTGTCAGGTGCGTAAGACATGGCGAAACGGTCTAACAAGAGAATTCATAGCATTAAACATCGATTACAAAAGAAAGAAAATCTTTAAAAAGCATCCGAAGCTTTCACCTCAAGCAGCTAGAGAGAAACTTAATGAGAAAGTGACAGGAGGAAGAGATAAAGAGCGGGCCCCCCGGGGCGCAGGGGGTACACCCGAGATCTCAGAAGAAAAATCAGTCGATGATAAACGTGAGGGTGTTTCTACGCCTCGATCCTACTCCACTGATCAACAGGCTCGTCCTTGCCGGGGAGAGTCTTGGAGTTGTAATTTCACTTTCTGGGCGAGCTGCGCGGCTGGGCATTTATTTCATCGGGGGATTTTGGAACTTTGTGTTTTTTGAGCAGTCGGCCCATTTTACCCTGTCGGATGCGCGCAGACTGTACTTTCAGTCTCCGGCGCTTGCCAGGCTGGGATGTTCCCCGTTTCACTCCTGAGAGTGCTCATCTGTGTCATCGCTTTCTCTCTGGCCATGATCACTAGTGGTTTGTCGATTTAGCTGATGTTTTTCAAAGAATGGAAATTTTTTCTCTGCTGTAATTTTCCTGTTTTCAATGTTGTTGATTCCTGCTCTTTACTATTTTTTTTCTTTAAGGTTCATTTATGCATACGAGAGCCGGGGTGCCGGCCTGAGGTGGGGGTGAAAGGACTCCCCAGAGACAGTGGGGAGCAGAACAGGAGGATCCACTGAAACACACTGCTGAGGGGCAGCGGGGGGGGGACAGAAAGGTCTGTGGCACCCTGTGGGTCACTCCTTGGCCGGGGATTGAACTCCTGCTGCAGAGGCTGCGGACAGCGGCACAGGTTGCATCGTAAGCCCTTGCCCCGCCAGGGAGGCCCCGTCATTGACTGACCTTACCCAGCAGCTGAGATCAATCTGGAGAAAGAACGACCTTCTCAAGAGCCCCGTGCTGGGACAGGCCTCGCGCAACAGGACGCCGCCGCCCCGGCTCACGTCACAGGCACAGACCCGGCCACAGCAGAGCACAGGCCCGGGCGACAAGGGCAGACACTGGAAGACTCGTAAGCGCCGTGACCCCTCACGCCCCGTGTCGTGCGCGGGACCCCCCGCGGGACACCGAAAGCACAAGCAGAGGAAAGGAAATGGAGGAACTGGATTTCAGCAAACGAAACGCTTTGTACCTCAACGACACCATCGAAAACGTGATGCCAACCACAGACCGTGAAAACAACATACTCAAGTCCAGGCCCGGCAGGGGCTCGGCATCCGTGGCATGGGACAAAAACAGACAGGTCGGTCACAAAGCGACAGGCATCCCAGCCTCGAGGTGGCAAAGGTTCCGAGCACACACCTCTCCGGGAGACAAGCGGCGTGTAGGGAGGCCGTGGAGAGGCTCCCGGCACGCGTCGCCGGGAACGTCACCAGGACCGCACGGCTGCCGGGGTGGCTGGACGCACAGGACGGCAGCAAGGAGTGGGTGAGGCGCGGAGGACGCAGCCCTGGGCGCCAGCGGGAGGTGCCGCCTCCTCAGCCAGCTGGCAAGTTCCTGAAAGGCCAACCCCGGGACACCCCCGACCGGCAGCCCCGCGCCCAGGGGCACACTCAGAGAAGTGAAACCTGTACAAGAAAGTTCCCAGCCGTCTTGTTCCTTGGTGTAAAAAGTGGCAACGGCCCACCCACTGGGACGCCAGCCAAGCCGGGTCAGCATGCAAGGACGCGTCTGAGATGACAGAGCCGGGGTGTGGACGCTGGACGCTGCCGCCGCGGGCTGCACCAAAGACACAGAAGCTACGACACCATGAGGGGCCTCACCCCCACAAGACGGGGGACACGGGCAGGGCTGTCCACGGTGCTGGGGGCGGCGCAGGTGGTAGTCTGGGACCTTGCGTGGGCACAGCCGCTGCAGGAGCTGGTGGGTCTGTGGTGTGGATGGCGCCCCCCAGCGCCATTCCAGATGGGAGCCCGCCGACGCCCGGCAGGGACGGGGCCCTACAAAGCGCTTGAAGGAGGAACCGCAGCACTGAGCCCCCACCGCGGCCAGGGGACAGCGAGGGAGTCACTTCTCGTTCACAGTGTAAAACTTATGTCCCCTGAAGCCAAACGCAGACAAAGTCACTCCCAAGAAAAGGGAAATCACAGGCCAGGAGCGGGGCAGTGCCGTGCGGGGAGCAAGCTAAGGGGCGCCCTGGCCACACCAACACAGGAAAAGCCCCTCCTCAGCAGTCGGCTCCCACCACAGTCACTGCCAGGAGAGCAGGCTGGGGCTGCCTGGACGTCCAGGGGTGGGAGGCAGGGCCTCCACCTCGCTGCGCCCCACCCAGACGGGAGGTAAGCGGGGAGACGTGAGAGCAGGTGTGGGGTGACGCATGTGTCCACAGAGGAAGTCCCCGGGAAGCTCCACTTCCTGGAATGGGGGGGCGGCGAGCCCACGAGGCACAGGGTGGGCACCGGCTCTGCGCCGCCTGCCCAGGCGGCAGCCCGGCCTCCGCCTCCCCACCGGCACTCACGTTGTAGAGGATGTCGGTCCAGCCCTCCATGGTGATGCACTGGAACACGGTCAGGATGGCAAACAGGATGTTGTCGAAGTTGGTGATGCCGAAGTTGGGGCCGCGCCAGTACAGCCGGCACTCGGTGTCGCCCTCGCACAGCCGCGCCGGCGCCTCCTGGCCGCAGGGGAAGTCGCCCACCGGGTCCGTGACCTCTGCGCCCGGGAGAAGCAGCAGGCCCTGAGCCCCAGACCCGCGCAGCCCCGGGGAGCCGCGCCCCCTGCGCCCCCGCCCCCCGCCCCCGCGCCCCGCGCCCGCGCCCTCACCCGAGCTGTTGGGGAAGCAGGCCTTGTGGAACTTGCCCATGTAGAACTCCAGGCCGATGATGGCGAACATGAGGATGGCGAAGAAGAGCAGCAGCCCGATCTGCAGCAGCGGGACCATGGCCTTCATGATGGACTTGAGCACCACCTGCAAGCCTGGCCGCGCCGTCGGGGTCAGGGGCGCCGGCCGTGGGAAGCCGAGCGGGGCAGGGGTCCGGGCCAGGCGCGGGGTGCGGCGCAGCGCGGCTGAGGCCCCGGGAAGGGAGCGGCCGCTGGGGCGGAGGAGGCGAAGGGGAGCCCGGGGGGCCGGGGGCGCAGGGCCGAGAAGGCGAGGGGGACCCCGGGGGAGAGGGTGCAGGGCCGAGAGAGCGAGGGGGACCCCAGGGGAGGGGGTGCAGGGCCGAGAGGGCGAGGGGGACCCCGGGGCGGGAAGCCGGGGGCGCAGGGCCAGCAGGGGCGCATCAGAGCTGCGGGTTCTGGAAGCCGAGAAAGGGCCCCCGGGAGGGCGGGGCCTGGGCGGGGCCTGGGCGGGCGGGGCTCTGTGGGTGGGGCGGGGCCGGGAGGGCGGGGCCAGGCTCTGGGGGCGGGACCTGGAGGGCGGGGCGGGGCTCCAGGGGCGGGGCTCCGGGGCGGGGGCGGGGCCTGGGCGGGGCAGGGCTCCGGGGGCGGGACCGGGAGGGCGGGCCTGGGCGGGGCAGGGCTCCGGGGGCGGGGCGGGGCGGGGTCTGGGGCGGGGCGGGGCGGGGCCGGGCCTGCGGGGCGGGGCCTCGGCGACTCACTGGGAATCCCGGACACGAGCTTCAGCGGCCGCAGCACGCGCACGGCCCGCAGGGTGCGCAGGTCGAAGTCGGTGCCCGCCGTGGCCAGGATCCTGCGGGGACGGGGGCGTCTGCGGGCGGCCGGCCGGCCCGCCGCGTCCTCCGCGCTGTCCGAGCGGGACCGGCCAGGCCCCGCAGGCCCGAGGCGCCGCCCGCCCTCCCTCCCTCCCGCCGGCCCGGCCCGGCCCGGCCCGCGCCCCCGCCTCGAGCCCGGCCCGGCCGGCCCGGCTGGCGGCCCGCGGGTCCGCAGGGCGGGGCGGGCCGAGGCCGCGGGGCGCGCAGCCGGGAGGGCCTCGGCCCGCGCGACCCGCCGGGTCACAGCAGGGTCAGGCCCGAAACCGCGGGAAGCCCGGGGGACAGCGGGCGGCGGGGGACCTTCGGGCCGCGTCCACGGCGACGCCCGGCAAGCGGCGCGCACACCCGGCGCGGGGCCTCCGCGCAGGACGGGGCGCCCCGCACCCCGCCCCGCACCCCCAGGCACGCGCACAGGCCTGACTTCGCGTGGCCGCAAGCCCCGACAGACATCTCCCCTCGGGAGGCGCGGCCGGCGCGGGCCCGGGGAGCGGCCGGCCTCACTGCCCGGGAAGCGCGGGCGCCGCCGCCCCGAGCGCCGCCCCCGAAGTCAGGCGGGGCCTCCCGGGCGCGCGCTCTACGCGACCCACGCGGTCGCGGCCTGGCCTCGGCGCCCCAGTCCCATCCCCGGCCAGCGAGCGGCCCGCACGGGCGGACCCCGCCTCCCCCGGCCTCGGCGGGGCTCAGCGGATCCGCCGTCCCGCTCCCCACGGTCCCCGGGGAACCCTCCCACAGCCTCTGGCCTGTACCCCAGCTCTAGTGTGCACAAATAGATAAATCTTCTTTTAAAAGCCTTTATGAAAAACAAAAGACAGGAGGCCTCCCCGGGGGCGCCGCGGTTGGGCGCTGGGCTGCGAAGCTGCCCGCGGCCTCTGCGGCGCCGGTTCGATCCCCGGCTGCTCCCCGGCCACCATGTGGGAGGAGGGTCCCGCACGGCGCGCAGACCCCTCCTGCCGCCCGCTGCTCCCCTCAGCAGTGTCCTTCGGTCCTTCTGCCTGCTCTGCTCCCCGCTCTGGCTCTGGTGAATCCTCTCACCCTCCCGCGCTTCTCACTGTGCCCAGTGCTTGTGTAAATAAACAAACAAATATATTTAAAAAAAAAAATTGAAGATCTACACAGGCACTAAAGCCTTAAAAAAAAAAAAAGACAAGAAATAAGAAATGTTGGCAACAATGCGCAGGAAAGGGAACTCTGGGCACTGTTTATGGGAATATAAATTGGTGGAGCCACTATGAAAACCAGTATGGAGTGAAAATAGAGTCATCGTATGATGCAAAAAATTTGACTTCTGAGTAGTTACCTGAAGAAAATGAAAACACAATCTGCATTCCTGTTCTTTGCCATATTGCTCACAGTGGTCAAGATATGCAAACCACCTAAATGTCCATCAACAGATGAAGAAAATGCCTGCATACATCCCTTATGATAGAATACTATTCAGCCATTAAAAAGAATCCAATCTTGCCATTTGTGATGATACAGATGAACCTTAAGGGCATCATGTTCGGTGAAGTAAGTCAGACAAAGAAAGATAATGCCATATGAAATCACTTACCTGTGGAATCTTTAATAAAAACAAAAACCAAATTCAAAAAACAGAGGCAGATTGATGGTAACCAGAGGTGAGAGATGGATGAAATGAACAGCAGGGCTGAAAAATTAAGTTTCAATAGATTCTAAAAGATAGGTATCATGCAAAATATCTTCTCTGATAACAATGGGATAAAGTTAGAAATCAAGAACTACAAATAAAACTGTAAAATTGACAAAACTGTAGAAATTAAACACATTTTTTAAACAACCAATGGGTCAAAGAAAAAAATCACAAGGGAATTTTTAAAATACCTAATGATGAAAACAAAAACACAACATACCAAAGCTTATGGGCTGTTGCAGCAGAAGGAACTGCTAAGGGGTGAGTCCACAATTAGAAATACTTACATTAAAAAATAAGAACAAGCTAAACCCAAAACTAGCAGGAGGAAGGAAACATCAGAAAGACCAGAACAGAGATAAACAAGATAGAGATTAGAAAAAAAAATTAATGAAACAAAAAGTCGGTTCTTTTAAAAGAGCAACAAAATTGACAAACCATTACTCAGGTGGAATGAGAGAAAGGACAGATGACTCAAACTGTAGATATCATAAATGAAAGTGATACATCATTACCAGTTCTACAGAAATAAAAAGAATATTAGCACTCTGAGCAATTGTATGCCAGCAAGTTGTATAACCTGGGTGAAGTGGACAAATTCCTAGAAAAACAAACCCACGAAGACCACACCCAAGAGAATTAGAAAATATGAACTGACGTAAAACTAGTAAGACGACTGAATCAGTAATCAAAAATATCCTTAAAGAAGTGTGCTAGGGCCTCCCTCGTGGCGCAAGGGGTTAAGCACAGCACTATGAAGCTATCCGCAGCCTCTGCAGCACGAGTTCAATTCCTGACCGGCCAGGGAGCAACCCACAAGGCGCAGCAGACCTCTCCTGTCTCGCCCACTGCTCCCCTCAGCAGTGTATCTCAGTACATCTGCCTGTTCTGTTCTGCTCCCCACTGTGGTGAATCTTCTCACCCCCCACACCTCTGGCCTGTACCCCAGCTGTTGTATGCATAACTAAATAAATCTTTAAAAAAATGTGCTAGACTGGATGACTTTAGTGGCAAGTTATATCAAGTATTTAAGAAGAACACTGGTCCTTCTCAAACATTTCCAAAAAATTGAAGAAGAGGGAACACTTTCTATTGTGTTCTATAAGGCCAGCATTATTTTGATACCAAGTCAGTATAAGAAAGCTACAGACCAATGTTGCAAATGAAAAGTGGTGCCAACATCTTGAACAAATATGCTAGCAAACAGAATTCAGCAGCATGTGAAAGGGATTATATAGCATGACTGAGCGAGATTTATTCCCGGAATGCAAGGATGGTTCCTATGTGAAAGTGAATCAACTTAATACACCACACAACAAAATGCAGGGGGAAACACATGAGCACCTCAATTGAGGCAGAAAGATCATCTGACAAAATTCAGCACCATTTCATGAAACACTCAAAATTTCATGAAACACTCAAAATTTCCAGCAACACAAGGAAATTAGATAAGACACATGCAAACAACATGCTTATGAAGCTTCTCCTCCGAGATCTGGGCAAGGGAAGGAAGAGTGCTCACTTTCGCCACTTCCATTCAAAAAGTACTAGAAGTTCCAAGCAGAGCACTTAGACAGTCAAAGAAATAAAAGAGCCAAACTGGAAACCAAAAGGTAAAATTATCTTTGCTTACAGATTATATAACCTTAAAAAACTCTGAAGATTGCACTCAAAAAAAAAGTTGCATTTCTATGCACAATGGATAATCTGAAAAGGAAATAAAACACTTTCATTCCTAATAGCATTAAAAGGGGTAAAATATCTAGGAATTAACGAAGGAAGTGAAAGACTTGTTAATGAAAACTATGAGGCGTGGCTAAAACATACAGAAGACAAATAGATGGAATTTCATATCTTACAGACTCTACTTAATCTCTATCAAAATCCCAATGGGGGCCGTCCTGGTGACGCAAGGGTTAAGACACAACCTGTGAAGCTGTCCACAGCCTCTGCCTCTTTGATTCCCAGCCAACCAGGGAGCTACCCGCATGGCGCAGCAGACCTCTCCTGACTCGCCCGCTGCTCCCCTCAGCAGTGTACTTCAGTCAATCTGCCTGTTCTGTTCCCCACTCTGTCTCTGGTGAATTCTCTCACCCCCCCGCCCCACACACACACACCTCTGGCCTGTACCCCAGCTCTTGTATAAATAAATAAATCTTTTTTAAAAATCCCAATGGGTTTTTTTTTCCAGAAATAGTAAAAACCATGCTGAAATTCATATGGAATATCAACAGGCCATGAAAAGCGAAAATAATCTTGAAAAAGAAGAAAGCTGGAGGATTCAAACTTCCTGATTTGAAAACTCACTACAACAGTAATCAAAACACTGTGGCACTAGCATAAAGACAGACATGCAGACCAATGGAATAGAACAGAGAGCCTGTAGCAACCTCACCTGTACGCCTGACTGCCTCTCAACAAGGCTGCAAGAGCACCGCTGGGGCAGGACGTCTCTTCAACCAGTGGTGCTGGGGAAACCGACTATCAACATGCAAAGGAACTACCCTACATGGGCTACAAAAAGCAATTCAGGGCCTCCCCGGGGGCGCAGTGGTTGAGCGCTGGGTTGCGAAGCTGCCCGCAGCCTCTGCAGTGCCGGTTCGATCCCCAGCCACCGGGTGAGGGTTCCACATGGCGCGCAGACCTCTCCTTCCGCCCGCTGCTCCCCTCAGCAGTGCATTTCTTCTGTCAGTCCGCCTGTTCTGTTCCCCGCTCTGGCTCTGGTGAATTCTGTTGTTTTTTGTTTTTTTTTAAAGAGGCATGTATATTTATTGATTTATGATTTATTTATTTGTTTGTTTGTTTGTTTTGTTTATCCAAGCACTGGGTACAGTCAGAAGCGCGGGAGGGTGAGAGGATTCACCAGAGCGGGGAGCAGAGCAGGCAGAAGGACCGAAGGACACTGCTGAGGGGAGCAGCGGGCAGCAGGAGAGGTCTGCGCGCCATGTGGGACCCTCCTCCGGTGCCCGGGGAGTGGCCGGGGATAGAACCGGCGCTGCAGAGGCTGCGGGCAGCTTCGCAACCCAGCGCTCAACCGCTGCGCCCCCGGGGAGGCCCTGGCTCTGGTGAATTCTCTCACCCTCCTGCGCTTCTGAATGTACCCAGTGCTTGTATAAATAAATGAATAAATCTTTTTTTAAAAAAAGCAATTCAAAGATGGGCCCAAATCTAAAAATAATACCCCAAATTATAAAACTCTTAAAAGAAAACAAAGAGGGCCTCCCAGGTGGCGCAAGGGGTTAAGACGGGGCCTATGAAGCTGTCTGCAGCCTCTGCAGCACAAGTTCAATCCGCCAGCCAGGGAGAAACCCGCATGGCGCAGCAGAC